TCATGGTGTCCCATGAAGAATTATTTGTAACTCAATAACAACCTTCTTTATTTGCTTTATTAATTGGATTTTCTGAGTCATGCTAGTTTGACCATATGGTTTAATAGGTTCTGAGAAGAAAAGTGTGCTGTGACTAAAAGAACTTTTGTCATTAACTCTCACCACTAAATAGCGACCATGGACACAGGGACAGTGTGTGTGTGTGTGTGTGTGTGTGTGTGTGTGTGTGTGTGTGTGTGTGATGTATAATATGAATACCCACACACACTCTATCTAAAACATCCCATAGATTGACTCCTGCCACTGGTTCTCTTTGCCTCTTCCTGACATCTTTCACACCAAGATTTTGAGATTCATCCCTGTGGTTATATGAATCAGTAACCTACTACTGAGCAGTATTTCCACATAGATATGTACTAGAATGGATAACTATTCCTTGTCTGGGGGGCATGGGGATTATGGAAATGCAGGCAGCTAGAAAGAAGCCTGTGAGTGAGTGTGTGTGTGTGTGATTAATTACCAAAGGACCAAAAATATGACACATTTCTCATTTCTGCTGGTAAAGACTCAGGAGCATATCCAAGAGCCTGAGATAAGACGCTGGTGACTTTACATGAAGCTGCTGGTCCTCTCCCAAGTGGCTGCCTGGCTTCACTCTCTTCCTAGCGAAGTACAGTAGCGGCTGTCCAACTCCCCCACCACAATCATCCCTCTGCCTCCAGCTGTTACGTGGGTGTGGCTGTGACTTGCTATGACTGTTTCATTGGATGCTGCCAGCTCACTACGCTCCTTGGTTAGATGCTGAGAGCTCATTACCCTCTTTGATTACTGCGCTGTCTTTTCAGGTGGTGACGCAGTGTCTCACGGGTGACATCCTTCCGTCTCAAGGGTTCCACCTCCCGCCTCCACTCTCTCACAATTCTCTTTCATTCAGAGCCTGGTTATGATGTTTATACACTCCATGTTAAGGCCTTTTCATTCCTGGGTCTGTTTGTGCAGTCTGGTGTGTCCCTTATCCCTTACAGGTCACAGTTTTGCTTTCGATGGTGGTAGCTTTGGTGTTTGTGCCATGCTAGAGATGGACCTCAGACCTTCAGCATGCTAAACAAACACTCTAGCCCTGAGCAGCAGGCTCAGTCCGGCTTTTCCTATCGAATTCTAGATGCCGTGACATGTCACCTTGCTCAGGTGCTTGTGACAGACTGATGCTTTGACTCTCGTGTCACCATGGGCTGGTTCCTGAGTGCCCTTCACTCCCAAGCTCCTTCAGCCTGAGACTCACATTCCAGCCATCACGAGTACCCAGTAGGTCTCGAGACTCATGGCCTCACAACCAGCCCTGTGTGAGTTCTGAGGACTGCCCACCTCCTGAGTTCAGTCATTCTGAGGTCCCTAGTGTTTCACATTGCACGAGTGCAGGCATTAAGTGTAAGTGGATGCCTGACGCCGTCCTTTGTCTCCTCCAAGTCTCCAAAACTCTGCCTGGCAATTTGTGACCATGTTTGCCCCTCCAGGTACCAATATGAGTGTTTCTGGCCTAGTGAGGCCTCTCACTTCTGACCATCCACACTGCTACATCTACCCCTTCTCTAGGGGATTAACTATCACCCACCTGTTCTCTAACATCTGATGTCAGTTGGTTCATCATCTTTATAGCAAGAGAGTCAATCTGGCCCTGGATAGCCCATTAATCATAGGACGTCCCGGGTTGTCAGCCTTTCCAACTCAGTGAAAACCTTTGTGTGTTATGACCCTGCAGCTGCTATGCCATATTACTGATGGGGTCCTCACTCTGTAACCCTTGCTGGCATTGAACTTGAAATGTTTCTTGCTCACCCTCCTGAGTGCTGGGACTACAGGCTACACCAGTAGTTCTCAACCTCCTAGTGCTGCAACCCTTTAAGACAGCGCCTGGAGTCGTGGTATTGCCAATCATGAAGTTTTCAACGCTACTTTGTAACTGTGATTTTGCTACTGTTGCGAATCCTGATGTAGATACCTAATATGCAGAGTATCTGTTTGCAACACCTGTGAAAGGGCCATTCAACCCTAAGGGGGTCACGACCCACTGCTTAAGATTAGACAAAACATCCCACTCACTGGTGAGCCTGGGAACCAACATCTGGAATGAAGGTGCAGGTAAGACTGCACACCTCACTGAGGTCTTGGGGGACAGCTGTTCTCAGCCCCTACTATTTAGCACTTTCTGACTGTTTATCACATGGAGACATTCATCTCTCTCTCTTTATTCTGTGGACTGATTAGAAACACCAAGGAAATAGAACCATGGTCTGTAATGGTTCTTGAATCAGAGCATGACACCCTCGTGACTGACAGCTCTGCCTGTGTCTTAGACTGGAAAACCACCGATGCACTAAGCCATCTGAATGGCTGAGAGAGACAGAGTCTGTGGAGCAGAGTTCACAGGAATGCCAAGGCTCCCATCTGAACAGAGCAAAACTGAAGCACGATGAAGTCTGTGTCACACAGGTCAGCACGCAGTGGCACAGAGGGTTTTCCTCTGATAGACTGGAGGGAGTTACAAGTGTGTGAAGACCTTGGCCTGGGCACATCACTTTCACTAGAATGTGTACAAGTAGATAATACGGGCTGGACTGGGACCTGTCCACCAGGAGGTGTGTACAGGACTTTGTGAAGGTTTCAGTGGGGCCCTACTTGGGGAATCCAACTCTCCTGCAACAGGAAATCTTCAAACTTGCTTTTGTTTATCTTCAGAGAAAGGTTCTCATGTACAACCCCAGGCTGGTCCCCAAAAGAAGTCTCTATCTATCTGTACGTAGCCAAGGGTGACTTTGAACTTCTAGTCTTCCTGTTTCCACCTCCAGAGTTCTGGGATCGCAGACATGTGCCATCACCTGTTTTTATGTGGTTCTAGGGATCCAAGGCAGGTCTTCCCTCGTGCCAGGCACATACTCTACCAAGTGAGCTACCGTCTCAGTCCAGAAAATGATTTATTTTATGTGTTATTTTATTACTATTACAAATAACACAAGTAAAAAATGGTTTTTAGTATTTCTTCTAAATTCTCTAAATTACTAACTCCAAAATAAATTAGTAGGAATAAAGGCATGTATTCTTGGGTCTGAATGGTATATTTAATTTACACATGATATTGAAGGCAATTTAAAGGAATATTTCATTTCAAAAAGGAAGCAACTGGAGCCAGAGAAATGACTTAGCAGTTAAGAGCACTGGCTGCTCTTCCAGAAGAGCCCAGTTTGGTTCCCAGCACCCACATGGCGGCTCGCATCATTCCTAACTCCAGTCCCTGGGGATCCATCGCCCTCTCCTGGCCTCTGCAGGCACAGCATGCACATGGTAAATGAACACAGGCAAAACACTCACACACACAGGATAAATAAATGTAAAGGTACTTTAAAAAGAAGCAACTGATTACGAGAACATCTGCAAAGATCTCGTGGAGCTTGCAAGCATTTCAATTGTGCCTAAAGACGCTCCATTTTCTATACCTTTTATTCTTTTTGCAGCAAATGGAGACCGTTATGAAGATCTGCAACTGATCAAAATGCAAAGAACAAGTGACCATTGGGTGCCCAACCCCAGATGATACACCTGTAACACAACTCCTGCACCTAAGACCCAGGGGACATCGTGGAAGAGAGTGAAGAAAGACTGTAAGATCCTGTTTCTTCATATGTAACTATTGTAGGATCATGTTTCTTCATATGTAACTACTATAAGATCATGTTTCTTCATATGTAACTTCTGTAATATCATGTTTCTTCATATGTAACAGGGGAGTTACACTCATGAAATCTCAACATACGACTGCTTCAGCAAGACCTGGAAAGTGACAATATCAGTTGACATGCCATGGAACCCCACTTCTAGATGAAGAACTTCGGGTAACTAGCAATGGCTGAGAGATTAATCTCCTCCAGAGACAAACTCCCTGAAAGTCTACCCAATCCCGGTGTCTGTCCTGAAAACATATGCATACAAACCACACTAAATGCAATCGACTGTTTTCTTGTGTACATATGTATACATATATGTACCTATTTATATGCAATATAGGTGTACATGTAACATATATTACAATAACCAAGAATAAGAAGCCACGAATTTGCAGAGCAACATGGGAGAGACTGGAGGGGAGAAATGACATAATTATCTTTTAATCTAAAAAATTAAAAAACAACAACACAACCAAACTAAAGCAAGAACTCGAAGGAATGTCTACAAACTACCCCATGAAGTTTGTAAGCGTTTTCCATCATACCCATGAAGCAGTCAGCTTTTACAACCTTCATTCCATCTGCTACCTTTCCCATCCTTCGTGTCACTCTAGATGTCGCAACAGAAAGGGAGACCTGAGACGATTTCAGCTTTCACTCTAAAGTTTTTTTTTAGCCTTTGTCTCCATAGAAAGCCTGGAGTAAAGATGGAAAGCAGAGAGACTAAACAGGTGAGTGGGCAGACACAGGGTGGACCAGTCTGGGATGGCACAGGGTCAGACAACAGCAGAAACACATCCAGGTAGCATCCACCTGTAGGTACTCTGCCCGAGCCAAGCAGCCTGACCCATGAGCAACTGAGGGTCAACCTTGGCCTCCTGCATCCACAGTAGCGGGATATCCCCCTTACTCTCTAGGGAATGTGACCCAGGACTATGAAAGGGGCTGGAGGCTTGACAACCCCCTGCATTTCCAGCAAGAACAGCCATCTCTCAGAGAACTCTGTAAGTCAATAGACTCCCACGAAGCAAAGCAAGATTTTCAGGACGCAAAAGACCTGCCAAGATTCCCCAAAGTAGCCGCTCTTCCCAGTGTCGGGACTCAGTAGCGTCAACTCACATTCAGAAATCTGGCTGGTGGAAGGAGTTCACCTTCTGCCTCACGCTGCTGCAAACTGCCAGGAGCCACCCTCACAGCCTAGCCATAGGCAGACGGCCCCAGCCCTGCCTCCTCCACCCATGCGGAGCTAACCCACAGAGAAAGAAAGTAGCCCTAACTCACCTGCAGTGAAGTGTTTGAGGAAGACACGCCAGAGTGTCCTCTGTTCATTGTACAGGTCCGGGGGCGTTTGCAGGAGGGCATGGGCAGGATGGAGGATTGAGAGAGCTGCCTTCAAGGCACAGCCTGAGAAGATGACTATCCCCGGTGGCTCCTGGCCTCTTCCTCCTGCTGAAGAGTACTTGAGTGGCAAAGAGGCTCTAGCACACAGGTAGAACCAATCTGCTACTATGATGACTGCAGCTGAGGCCCTGGGCATGCCCGAGGGGCCCCGGGGCCAGGACCGCTGCCAAAGGTTAAGGTAGAGACCTCACCAGCTGTCCAGGGAAGAGAACTCTTGCATACCTACAGTGTTTTCTGCACCACCAACTCTGACAGCCAAGACCCGGGTACCTCAGCACGCTCGGGGGCTAAATAAAGCAGGACAACACAAGGATGCCCCTCCCTGTTACCACTGACCTGCTGTCAAGCCCTGAGAATCAAGAGACACACCAACACAGAACTAATTGTCTCTGGCAGCTTTAATGATTACTAACTAGGCTCGCATGTTACACTTCAATTTATAGATTTAATATCAATCTACAACTCAGCATCTCCCTCCCAAACACTTGGAGATGACTTAACAGACAGAATCTTGGTAAGGAGTAGAGATCCATGTACCAAACGGTGAGTCAGGGTTTTACAGCGGTCCTAGGAGACTTGAACAAAAGTGAGAACCGATGACATTGCCTCAACCGTAACCTCTTGCATCTACTAGGAACATAGAAGATAATGATTGCAAGAGAGACAGACATTATAGCCTCAACATGAGTGTCTGGAGGGAGCAAGCTCACCACCAGCTCTGGTCCTTTGTAGGATTAGGACCAAGGGTCACCTGTGAAGTGACCAGACCCACCAGCTCTTGTCTCGCTTCCTGGAGTTAGGGGCAGACTTTTCAGGACACAGCAACTCTTCTGGTTAAGTGTTCACACCATGAACCCAGCACATGAAGCCAATTAGTATAACACACATCCTTACCTGTAGGAGGAGACTTGGGACTGTGCCATTAGTGCTAGAGGCGGTGCTAACCACACCCACTTTGGGCGTGACTAGAGAGAGACAGGGCGGTGAACTACACCACTAGCCAGGCCCACTACTAGGCGTGGCTAGAGGTGTGTATGGAGGTTCTTATAAAAAACTGTGCCGGCAGAATGGTGCTCTCTCTTTTCCGCTTCCGGTTCAGTAGCAGAAAGCTACTTGACTCGTCTGGGTTGCCCGTTTTCTCATGTAAGTAATTTCTACAATAAACAGTTACTTATACCCTCAACAAATGTGCTATTTATGGTTACAGCAACACTTACCTAGCTTCTTGGTCCTCGGTAGCCGTTGTCAGTGCACCAGACAACAGTGCAGAGCAGAGGGCTTCTGATCCAATCAGACCTTCATACCCTGTCACCAACCTTCATGTCCTGTCACCAGGACACCTTCGGCTCCTAGAAACCAGAGTCTACGCTGTAATCCGGAGGCTGCAGACTCCACCTGAGTGAGGTTAGCAACTTATCACCCAAAACATTGCCCTCTGCATCCATCCACACCATCGCCAAAAAAAAGGGGTGGGGGATCCCCTCTGTGAGGCTGAGTCACGCCTGCTGTGTGCACACATCCCTTTTTTCATTCGTCAGCAAACACGTTCTTCCCGTGTACGGGTCCCCGTGAAGAGGGCTGCGATGAGCATGGCAGAACATGCCTTCCTCTCACCCACGCCAGCCCTTTCAGGTGTGAAGCCAGCAGCGGGTGTGGCTGGATCATGCCGTAGCCCTGGCCATTTGTGCTGTTTTTCATAGAACCAACACTGCAAAACATGAACGCGCCTTGGTACTCTTTAGCGGTCAGACAATGTTGAAGGACTGTGGAGTCAGAGCCTTCTCCACTCTCGCAGGCTCCACGACCTCAGCCTGGCTTGGAAGCTGGGCAGTGTCGCCTACAGTTTTCTGTGTACGGACAGTGACAGGACTTAGCCCTTTGCTGGTGGTGTGATACCTTAGCATACAGAAGGCCTAGGTGCATGAAGACCAGTGCTCACAGCATCTGCTATTAGCTCAAGGAGTGGATCACACAAACCTACACCCATAGCGCATGAGGCAGGTAAGAGGAAGATGGCCATACCCCCCCAGATAAACAATTAAATGCAAAACCGGGTCAAAGTTAGGAGACCCCATGGCTTGGATAGCTCGGGCATCTCCAAGCAGACAGATGAGTAAGCAGTGAGTCCAAGCAGGTGTGTTGGCAAGAGAAGAGTGCAGTAGCCCAGGGTGAGGGGACCTGGGCCCTGCTGAGACAGCTTCAAGAAAAACTCACTGGGCTCAGAATCAAGGAAGGGGCAGGAGGCAGGGGCAGGACAGGGCATCCCTTCCAGCATGTGCCTGGGCATCCCGGGAGCCAGAAGGGACCACTTAGAGTACATCAGGGAGTAGAATGTGACAGAGCGATGGGTGGGAGCAACCTTGGAGGGACCTGAGGCGTGAAAAGAACTCAGCTCAACTTAAGGCGGAAGGTTCCAGAGGGCTACCCCTTTCTAGATTGAATGAGTGTCAGGCTGGGGCACCAAAGAGAAATGCCCTAACCCTGGTTCTGAACCCAGCCAGATTTTACCAAAATCTGCCTAGGGCCTTCCAAATCACCTCCTTGGAAAATGTGACTGACATACATCAGGCCACGCTGTAGGTCAGGTGTGTGATATTGGCCGATGAGGACCGGCCATGTATTCTGACTACAGATGAGGCAAGGGGAACTGTTTTTAGCAAGGAACATGACATTCAGAGTCTTTCACATTCGTCTCAAGTTCTAGCATAGTGGGTGAATGGAGATTGCTGGCCCAGAGAGCCAGAAGCTGAAGTGCGTGTGGCTGATGCAGGGTGCTCACCGCCCCCCCCCAGAAGGCCCTGATCTGGGTGGCAATTCCATATAAGGGTGACACAGTTGGTAAAGCCTCATTAATATATTCCCTGTAGACTGCAAGTGCTGATACCATGCCAACAGTAAACAGAGCAGGGATGTCCAGAGGTGAAACGAGAGCCCTCCTCATAATGAGCAGACTGATGGAGGCCGTGGAGTCCCGGCATGCGTTTGTGAAAGACGCTCCAAGATCCCCATCAGCAACAGGCGTCTCGTGGAGAAAAGCCCAGCCCAGAACTACAGTGTGCGAACTGCACCAGTTAACAAGTTCACTCCAGGAATTCACTTCTGCAGGGAAATTTGGGAAGCAGGTGCGGCAATGAACCTAGGAGAGCCGCAGAGTCGATGGCTGTTGTCTGAGTCTCCAACGAGACAGATGCCCAGAAGTTGAAACAACTTAACTCTGGCAGTCATGCCTGACATCAGCTGTTGTGAGAAATTCTCTCTTTTTTTAGTCTCACACAGCCATCTTAGATAGCCCAGGCTGGCCTCTTCTATCTCACTAGGGAAGCCAAGAGAAACTCTGTGCTTCTGATGAATTCCAAGTGCTGGGTTAGAGGCATGAACCACCACGGCCCAGTTGAATAGTCTCTCAAGAAAGGATGAAAACTGTCTTGTTGAAATCTAAGGACTCCCAAGGGTATGGGGGTGAGAAAATACCAGGAGCAGAATATTTGCTTTGGCTAAATTCAGGATGGCCCTGCTGGACTTGAAGCAAGCTTGTCAGCACACAGGGGCAGGGTGTAGCCCAGACTTCCATCCCTCGGGTAGTGGGGGCCATCCTGAGCCCTCATGGGCATGTCTTTTTCTTTCCCAGTAAGCAAGGCTGTGGGTCCGCACCCCCAGCATGGGAAAACCTGCCGAAAATACTTACTGTATGTATTTCAAAGAAGCTCAGCTGTTTGGGGGGAAATGTCATGTTCAGTTGAAACAGATCTTCAGATGACAAGGGACCCAGGTGATTCCCATATTGTGAAATAGTCCTTTTGTACACTGTGTTGCTCTCATTGGTTTAATAAAGAGCTACGTGGTCAATAGCTGGGTGAGAAGAGGCTAGGCAGGACTCACAGACTGGGAGAGAGCACTGGGATGAAGAAGGGGGGCGTCTCCAGGAGATGTGGGGAGAAGCAAGATGAACGCAACATGTTAAAGAAAGGTGCCGGCCACGTGGCAGAAACACGGGTTAATCTAATGTAGACGAGAAACACGGGTTAGTCTAATGTAGAGGAGAAGCATGGGTTAATCTAATGTAGACGAGAAACACAGGTTAATCTAATGTAGACACGGGTTAATCTAATGTAGACAAGAAACACGGGTTAGTCTAATGTAGACGAGAAACATGGGTTAATCTAATGTAGATGAGAAACACGGGTTAGTCTAATGCAGATAAGAAGCATGGGTTAATCTAATGTAGACGAGAAACACGGGTTAATCTAATGTAGAGGAGAAGCATGGGTTAATCTAATGTAGACGAGAAACACAGGTTAATCTAATGTAGACACGGGTTAATCTAATGTAGACAAGAAACACGGGTTAGTCTAATGTAGACGAGAAACACGGGTTAATCTAATGTAGATGAGAAATACGGGTAAGTCTAATGCAGATAAGAAGCACGGGTTAATCTAATGTAGACGAGAAACACGGGTTAATCTAATGCAGATAAGAAATACTGGTTAATCTAAGTTGTAAGAACTAGTTACTGACGCCAGGCGTTGGTGGCACACGTCTTTAATCCCAGCACTCAGGAGGCAGAGGCAGGTGGATCTCTGTGAGTTCGAGACAAGCCTCCAAAACAATACAAACAAATCCTGTCTCAAAACAAACAAACAAAAACAAAAAATAATTAGTTACTAACAAGCCTCAGCTGTGGACCGAGCATTTATGATTAGTACTAAGTCTCTGTGTGGTTAATTGGGAGCTGACTAGCAGGACCAAATATTCCGCCTTTTCCCTTTCTTTAGCCCTGGTCAGCAAATACTCAAATCCTATGAAGCAGTTGGGCAAAGCAGAGCTTCGGGAACAAGGCAGTGGCCAGGACTCATCCATCCAAGTGAGCACCATGCTTGTGGGCTCACACTGCCTCTCAGAATGATGGGGGACAAGGTCACACCCCCTCCTCTTTCTCAGCGCCCCCCCCTTTCTGCCGAAACATCCCTGCCCACAGCTCTCTCCTCCATAGGGACAGCATTAATATTTAGGAGGTTTTTACACACTCTCCCCCGCCCTAACCCCATGTATCTGGCTTCAGATCTTTTCCTGGCCACAGAGGCCTGCTAGCTTCTGTGGGAAATGTGGAGTGGGGGTCATGATACACCTCTAGAGTAAGTCTCCTCTCTGGCAGAAATCAAAGACTGGTGGGTGGCCACTCCAACTTCAGCGCCACCCACGGGATCATTTGCGGATGCCTCACAAGGGCTCTCCAGTGTCCTAGGGTGTGAGCTGGCAGTCATTGGCTTCTGCCAGGCTACCACAGATTGCTATATCACCCAGCGTCCTCAGGTACGAGCACCTGCCATCCACCCACTATCTCAAAGGAGGGCTCCGCAATGATGGATATTTCTGAAATCAGCATGGAGTCAGGCTTGATCTTCACATCAGGTATCAATCACTCACTTCCAGCATCCTCTCCTTTGAAATAGAAATGGAAGGGAGGGAGGGAGGGGTGAAGGAAGGCAGGGAGGGAGGGAGGTGGGAGGGAGGGAAGAAGGAAGGAGAATAGGAAGGAAGGAGGGAGGGAGGGAGGGAGGGAAGGCAGGCAGGCAGGCAGGTAGGCTCCAGAATAGGAACAAAGTTCTATCATGATATGCTCCCCAGGGCATCCGCGCAGCCAGGTGCCTGGCAGACTGTCGTGTGCTGTGTGCAGTGTCCTGTTGGGTACCGTGTCTTCATGTTGTTTCTCTGTCGGAAGCCCCCATGGAACCACCTGCGGCATCTAGGCTCCTCCCTGTAGCCTTCAGTCACCTCCTCTTCCTGTCACAGTTCTTCACCCGCCAGGGGCACTGAGGGACGTGTGGATTAGACTGGGAGGGAATGAGAAGTCACAGGGTGAGCTTCCACACCAAACGGGAACAAAGCTGGCAGCCAGCGTGACAGCGTGTTCTCCTGGAAGAGTGAGCTCTACTCAGATTCCTGGAGCAATTAGCAACAAGCGTGTACTGATTTTATGAAGGCACGAGCCCATTTTATTTGCGTAACATCTTTGAGATTGAGAGCATCAATAGAGGGGCCACTTGTTGCTGTACTGCATGGATAGAATCTCACGCTTCCCTTCAAAACTCACAGGTCGAAGGTTATGAAAGAAACACAAGCAAAAAGCTTGAGCGTGCGGCACACGGGTGAACTTGAATTACTTCCGAGGGACCAGAGGATTTATAATGTGAAGTATAATGAGGCAAGTAATGACCTCAAAGAGATGGTTAACCATGCAGTTGTGTTTCCAGAAGATTCCAGGATCAGTCATTAGAAGGGCAGACAGGAAGAAGCATAAAGAAAGTGGATAAAAGATGTTTTTCTTAACTGAAAGTGAAGGATAAGGATGAGCATCCAGCACTCACTGCAACGTCGCACGAGTGATTTGAACTTGATGACACCGTGCCTGACTTTTCATTACGTAGGTCCTTGGGCTCGCAAAGCAAGCCCTTTAACTGAGTAAGCTACCTCCCAAGCTCTTCTATGAAGGTTAATTTTGTGTGTCAGTTTAAGCACACTGGAAGGTGCCCAGGCCAGCAGTCAATCATTTGCTCTTACTGGATTCGTGAGGGTATGATTGACACCAGCGTTGGTGAACTGAGGAGCAAAGGCATGCCCCTGTGACGAGTGAGCATGCAACCCACTGAAGACCCCAGCACAGCAAGAGGCAGAGAATGTGAAGCCCACTGTCCACTCTCTGGGTGCGTTTTCCTGCCTTTGGCACTCCTGGAACCTACACCATTAACCCCTGATCCTCAGATCTCCACACCGTACACTGGGCTCTCTGGCCTCCAGTTTCCATAAGACAGACGATAGCACCTGCCAGGTCCTGTGACTGGGTGAGATCATGGCTTTATAACAGTAGTTCTCAACCTGTGGGTGGCGACCCCTGGGATTGAACAATACTTTCCCAGGAGTCAAATATCCCATATTCTGCGAATCAGAGTGCTTTCATTACGATTCACGACAGTAACAACATTGTAGTCATGAAGTAGCAACAAAATAATTTTACAGTTGGGGTTCACCAGATGAGGAACTGTATTAAAGGGTCACAGCCTTAGGAACCCTGAGAACCACTGCCTTATAATAAACCTACTCCTAAAGAGAGAGTCAGAGACAGAGACAAGATGGCGCTCCCTCTGGCTGTGTTTCGCTGACCTGTCTGCACTTTGGTATGATTGGAGCCCAGTGGCAGAGCCTCACTCTAGATTGCAGCATGGCTTCCCCACCGTTCCGCCACTCTCCAATAAGACAGCGATCCTCGCCGTGACAGTTTCTAGTGAGTTCTGTGACAAAGGGCCTTGGGCTAGATGGCTTCAGCATTGAAAGTCTCTGCCCTTAGAGTTCTGGAGGCCAGATGTGTGAGGTCAGAGAGTCAGCTGGGCCACACCCCTTCTGAGGACACTAGGGGAAGATCTGACTGGCCTGTTTCCCACCTTTCAGCTTCTGGGGTACCACAGAAGATGCAGATAGAGTCTCTACCTCAGAGAGTGGCCTCATGTGGAAGTAGCTACTCACAGAGGACTAAGCTCAGCTGAGATCGTTAGGGTGGCCCCTTCCCCAAACTTTGTTTTCCTGTGTGTTTATATGAGGGTGAAATTGGACACAGGCACAGGGACAACACACATGTATAAGTTCATCTACATCTTTTGGGGTGCACAACCTCAGCTACTAAGACACATAAGGTGATATGGGGACAGAAAAAGCTCAGGATGGCTGCTCAGACCCTTCCTTAGGGGATAGCCTTACATCCAGGAGACAGTCGTTGTAGAATTTTATTTTGAGGTATGTGGTGTTTGTTTACGATGTGGAACATTTAATGATGCAAACATGTGCTGCATTGGTTAACTCTATAAAGCTGTGTTACTTTGCCTGTCCAAAACATGTGATTGGTCTAGTAAAGAGCCGAACAGCAAATAGCAAGGCGGGAGAAAGGACAGACAAGGTTGGCAGGCAGAGAGAATAAGTAGAAGGGGGAAAAAGAGAGAAAGAAGTAGATAAAAGAGCGAGAAAGAGGAGGAGAGGAAGACTCCAGGGACCAGCCACCCAGCTACACCGCAAGCAATGGAATAAGAAGTAAAGATGGATATACAGACTAGAGAAAGATAGAAGCCCAGAGGCAAAAGGTAGATGGGGAAAATTAGGAAAAGCTGGCTAGAAATAAGCTAAGCTAAGGCCAGGTATTCATAAGACTAAGGCTTCCTGCGTACACCCTCCTACACTGTTAGAATACCGGGAAGCAGCTCAGTGTCCTGGCTCTTGCTACCCTCCGTAAATGTACACACTATCATATGTGTGTCTGTATGTATTCACACCTACCGCCTATCTGTCATCTATTACTCATTTTTATCTATTTATTATCTGCCACTTGTCTATCATCTATTTATTACCCATCTGTCATTATCCATTATCTATGTTGACAGACACCCGGGAACAGACCCTGGAGTTTTCACCTCTGACGTTTTGAAAGAAGAAAATGTGGGAGGAATGTCATGTCCGGAAACTAAATTAAATAGTTATTTAAAGTAATATCCATTAACATACCACCTACAAGCACATAGTTCAATGATTTAGGCCAAGTGGATTCATATGCCCATGAACACAAAACAAATGCCCATCTAAATATAACAACTGAAAGTTGAACTATGCACCAAAGCCAAGCAAACCCCAAGACAGTCACTATTTTTTGGTCATGTCCCTGCTATAGCAAGCAGACACCGTATTGTGCAGCTTATTGCCAACAATACCCCTCCCCAGAATTTAATTCTACACACTTGAATGGACACATTCAAATCATACCACGGGATCAAATCCAAGTCAAGATAAACTCGTTAACTCTAATTTTGTTAACTAAATTCGCAAAAAACCAATTCATGAAAAGACAATGGTGTCTGAGTAGAATTGTCATTGCTTCACTCACTATGATTATTTGGGCAATGTTTTCTATTACAGAAATGGATAGGGATAAAGACAGATGGTAAGAGGATGATGGATAGATGATAGATAGATAGATAATAAATAGATATAGGTGATAGATATAGATAGATAATAAATAGATATAGGTGATAGATATAGATAGATAATAAAGATATAGGTGATAGATATAGATAGATAATAAAGATATAGGTGATAGATATAAATATAAATATACAGATAATAATGACAGATGAGTAATAGAGAGATAGGTGATAAATGACAGGTAATGAATACGTATAATAGATGATAGGTGATAGATATAAATACATAAAGACACATATAGACATGCATATGACTGATCTAGATAGGTATAGATATGGAGAGATGTATAGGTAAGTAGAAATGAATATATAGAGATGGTTGATACATAGATACAAGTACACATAATAGATATATCAATATATACATAGTGAGGAGAGATTATTGATGGATGTATGGGTATATGCATAATATCTGGATATATGAAATATAGACATAATAGACAGCAGGTTCAAGGATACCTACATACCTAGAGATAGACAGACGATAGATATAGACAGTCATAAATAGGTTTTTTCAGGATTCTTTAAAACAAAGATATATTATGATTGAGTACACATAATGGCAAATTGTGCTTTGTGGCAGTAGTTGCTAGTGAGGAACACTGTCTTCGGGCTCCAGGCAAGTCTACACAGAGGCTGAGATACTTTGGTGCCGTCAGCCTCCTACACAGCCTCCGCTTATGTCTGCTGGGCTTGTCACTGTCAGTGGCAGGGGAGACCCCTGGGATTTAGAGTGAGGTCCCCTGCATCTTCACACCACATCCCAGAAGATGATACAAGAAGAAAGTGGGTTACTTTTGCCTGCTCCCCCCTCTTAGAAACCAGCCACATGTGATAAAGTCATGTGAGCACTTAAGAGATCTTCAGCCTTGCCTAGCTATCCCTCTGACTGTACTGGACTATACCATACTGTACTGTTCTATAGAGCTCCTGGGGCGTGGAACCTGCCACCTCAGCTTCCCATGCAGAGGGGATCACCGGCCTGCCCCTCCATGCCTTCATGATGGAAGCATCCATCACGCATAGAACACGTGTCTCGGGGGCTCTCTGGGAAATGGAGTGAGGAGCGGTTGTGAATGAAATGAGATCAGGGAGCCGGGAGAGTTTGCACTGCACACACTAGTTTTAAAGCTGGGGACAGGAGGAGACAGGGATGGTGTGGAAGACTCGGAGAGAAGGCTCAGGAGGACTGGGGGGGGGCACTTGAGGATGCTGGTGACTCTTCGGAGCCTCGAGAACCCCCTACACTTCCATGTCCCACCCTCCGCTGCCATCAGCGGGAAGCCAACCACACGCCCCCAGTTTCTTGGAGAACACGCTAATGAGGGACCCCGTTTTAAGCGGTGCTAATTTAGGAGGCTCCCCAGTCCTTGACAAGATCGCTGTGCTTCAAGGGGGTCCTGAAAGGACCAAAGACGAAGACACACAACCCGTCATGAAACGTCATACGGTAGTGAACAATGGAAACGAGGATCAACAGCAGGTGCACCTTAGTCTCCCCCCTACCCACACTCTGCGTTCTGTCTGCCAGGATGAGAGGAGAGAGGGCCCTCCCCTTGCATGACCAAAACCCAGCAGGCGTTTAAGTTCTGCTGAGCTTTCCCCCACTTGCTGGCTAGCAATGCAGAAATGCCCTCCGGGTATCTCTCTCAAAGCCTGCGAACTCCAAGCATTGCAGAGTTGAGAGCCTGCCTTCATCAAAATCTCCTTACAGAGGGACAGACGGGCTTGCATGGGCTTCCTGTTGTAGTCCATCAAGAAGGGAAGACGGGCAGGAACCTGGAGGCAGGAGCCCATGCAGGGACCGTGGAGGG